ATCCTTTAGTTCGAGGCACCAGTTACAGGATTTTGATGAATCAAGAGCAAAATCATTGCATAATTAACACGTGATCATTTATCCAGAAGGCTTGGAGTGTCACCAAGTTACTACACCTTCACTCACGAAGGGACATGCTTTAGACAGTGCAAATCACGATTTTAAAAGCGTGCAATTAGACTTCCAAATAAGTTGGCAGCAAGTGGTGTCAAGGTGGTTTAACGACATGACAGAACCTAATGGCACTGCATTCCATTATGCGTCTCCCTTTCCCCAAAACCGAAACATGGTGCATTTAGTGTTAGGGGAATTTGTGCTTTTATTTAGAAGGTGAAAGTGGACTTGGGGAGCAGATATATAATCTGTTCACTGTTGTACCTCTTCACTCTTATCTCTTTCACTGATTAAGGGTTGCATTAAGGCTGGCTTGGTTTGTGGCTAGAAGAGATGTTAGATTTACCACATGCGGCAGTGAAAATGAATGCACAAACGTCCATCACTTGGACTGTCAGCAACTTCTAGACGATGGAGGTTATTGTATTTTGACACCAAGAGAGGGCGGAGTTTACGACTTTGTTAGGTCACAAGTATGCTAATAGTGAAGAAAGAACGCCCACACTGTCAAAGAGGTGCAGTATTTGTGCAACAACATGGAAAAGGCATGAAAATAGTGACGTGTCATGCCTTAGTCAGCCCCAATTCGAAATAACTTTGTACTTTTGTTAACAAACAAAAATTCTTTGTCGCTCTTGCCTCAAAGGATGAAACAGTTGATCTGTTTTTTAGACATCGTGACCTACTTATTCGCCTTCAAGGCTAGACACACTCCTTCAGCCTCGCCTTAACGGCGCGGCATGCAGGAGTCGCGCCTCAGTAGGTTGCACTCCTGCCCTAAATGCACATTCAGGCACAGATTGACTCCCATTGACATGTACACAAGGCATGGCTTCGTATCACCGCTGAGGAAACAATGCCGGATGCTTGTGCCATTGGCCAGGCGTGGACTTTTATTGCACACGGCAAGCCGAACACCTGCATGCGAGTATCACGGTAATGAAGGCGCCTCTGAGGGCATTTAAAGGATCTATTATTAACTCATAAAAAGTCCAAGGGACGTGAATAGAACATCTAATAGACTAGAAATAGGACCGAATTGTTGAAATGATTTTCAAAATGCCGACTTAAAATATTTGTCTTTTAAACGAAAAAAAGCCTCATGCACTATGCTTTCTCACGCATGTGAGATCAACCGTGGTAGAGAGAATTAATCAGTTGTGCAATTGTGCAAAAATCGCATTACGGCATAGTACTTTTTTGAGAATAAATTATAAAGAAAACCCATTCCCACAGTACCGAATTATGTGAGCGGTATCGCCTTCTAGCGGATTGAAGTGGTACGATAATGTGATTGGTGAAGGTGGTTGAGAGGTGTCAACCAGTCCAAACTTCTCTCTAACTATAGACCGACTGAATAGGGTGACCAGCATCTATTCCACGTGGCAGCAAAGTGCGGCATAACTTGCATACCTCTTAGAGCTTTGATCGCCTCCGCTATATGACTGAA